AGCATACAAGCCGTTGGGAGCGATAACCAATGAACCTTAAAATCAAATGGTTTCTATGCTCTAAACTTAAAGTTATTTAATCGTGACTCAAATGGCTTAATTTGAGAAAACAGATGACTAAGATTTAGTGTTAAGTGACTCTATATTATTATGATTGCGAAAAAACAGTAGGGATTTTAAGAGAAAATTCGTTTTGAAGTGATCGCGTGAAGTAAGCCATTTATGTCTTCATCCAAAGCGAGAATTGAATCAAAACAAAAGTAAAGGTTTATATATATAACGAAATGTTGATATTGATTTTATGAATTTTTATAGGGCTTAAATTAACATTGGTAATGGGAAATGTATGTTTTGTTTTATGTGTTTGTGCGTGTTGTAAGATATTATTTTAAAAAGCAATAATTTGATAGAACATTTACTTTATTTCCGAAGTTTATGGGTTGAGAAAGTTTGGGCTTCCTGTGGTTTTACGGACTTACAGTACGACTCGATGACATAGTGGCTTCGCCTCTACGAGGCAGTAGCCACAATAACGACATCMATTATTCTTATTTGTGTTTTCTTCAAATTACAGACAAAGTCATGAAAACACTTGTTTCCCAAGCTCGTGTCAAGTGTTCCTTCAAGAAAAAAACCAGTCTTCTTAACACAAATTCCATAAATCCAACAAAGAACAAGGCTTTCTCTTGTGGAACTTGGCAACAAAGATACGCCCAATTCCATCGCAATGCCCTTAAATCACCCGAAACAGCAAGATTCCTGGTATATACCTGCCTGGACAACAACTGTGGAGGTCTTGGGAATCGTATCTTTGGCATTGCATCTCTCTTGTATTTAGCTGTCCTTACCAATAGAGTATTTTTGATTCACTGGGAGGGAGCTACTAAATTAATAGATTGTCTGCAGCCAAGAAAAATTGAGTGGGATTATCCAATTAATCTATTGAAGATTGGAAATAAATCCAAGTACCATTATTGGGGTAGCAGTAGACCAAACTACAGTAAAAAGTACACCGACATAAGAGTTGAATCAGCCATAAAATTTAAACAATGGGTATCTAATACGAATTTTTCTGCCACACTAACTTTGCAGTACGAGCTCATAGGGACGATCCGGTACTTCGGCGACCAAGTTTTGAACAACAAATATCTAAAACTCAAGGCGATGAACTTAGACCTACCAAAGAAAGATTCAAACTTTCCGTTCGCAACTCTTGGATGTGCCTATGATTTTTTGTTCAAACCCACCAAAAATCTATCCTCGTTGATCCAAAAATATAGGAAGAGGTTAATGCCTGGGAATAGGGTTTCAAAACCTCGTAAAGCGATATGCATGCATATAAGGACGAGTGACTTTCAGTTCGGAGTGCGTAATATTCGAAGCATTCGCACAACTCAATTCAAGAATTTTTTCTCGTGTGCAGAAAAAGTTGAAAAGTACATTTACGAAAGTAATCTGCTTGACCTTGCGCCTAATGAAGAAATCAAATGGTTTCTGGCCACAGATAATGTAGACGTGAAAAACTACGCCAAAATGACCTACAAAGAAAAACTGTTCACTGTGGATTTCAAGCCAGAACATTTAGAATATTCTAAGAGGAAAGATACTCTTCGAATGATCTTAGTCGACATGGCGCTTCTCACCGAATGCGAGTTTTTTCTTGCTACTATTCATAGCAGTTTTAGTAACGTTATCACAGGTAGGAAAAGACACTCTATTGATACATTTGTATACGGCGAAGAGTGTGATGGTACAAGGCTTGCTAAAAAACTTAGTTCTATATCTTGAAGAAAGATTGAGTGCAGTAGTTCATTTGGTAATAGGGGGTGTCCGATCATGTGTTTTAAGACAGAACCGCAAAACCAATCATATTCCTCGAAATTTCATGGACTTCTGATCGATTGGTATGCGACTCTGAAATGGCTTTCCAAGCCCTGCAAGAGAATATGAAGTAAGTTCTTAATATTCTCTTGAAGCCCTGTGATTGGATATTTTCAGTTGTTAAAATTAAAGAATTAAGGGCAACAGTGCATGACATTACTTTAAAATAATAAAAAGGGCTTATCAGTAGAAACAATTTCCAGTCTCTATTACTTTTATGTTATGTTGTGCTATTTTTATAATTTCCCCGTTAAATTTTTAGTGGGAACCGGGCCCGTTTCGTTAATCAGAAAAGCCTGGCGACCACTTTGAGATGAATCCGCTTACCCGAGATCGCAGGCACAAAGTTTCACGAACGCATTAAACCTGTAGTATTTTTGGGCTTATGGTTCTTAGTTGAATTTCATTTATATAAACGTAACTTTCCAAGTGTTGTTGTATAAAGGAAAGAAATAATACTCAAGAGAATGGTACACCGTCTGAAATGGAAAAAAACAGTAAACATGCCTAGTTCATATATCACTTCTGATTGGTCAAGTTTATAAAAGTCTAACCAATGGAGATAGGGCTTGTTTGAAAATGAAACTCTACAATGCCAGTAAAAGACCGATAGGGCAGTGGTCACTTCCCTTGACACGTGACCTGATGACGCTGTCACAGACTTTAGGTACCAGTCTCTTTGACAGCACAAAATAGTCAAGACGCCTGGGGAAAAATGAGCAAATCAATCGTGAATAAATTGGCATCATTAATTTTTCAACCGACATCGGAAGATATTTAGGGGAGGGGTTGGGGCAACGTTTACGCCTATATTTTATACGATTATCTCACAGATCCAACCCTGAAACAACCTCTGGGCCGATCTWATTTAGCGCATGGCCAACTCATAGATCCAACACTGAAACAACCTATGGGCTAATCTAAATCAGGGCATGGCTAACTCACAGATTAAACCCTAAAACAACCTCTGGGCTTAACTAAGTCAGGGAATGGCTAACTCACAGATCAAACCCTGAAACAACCTCTGCGCTGATCTAAGTCAGGGCATGGCTAACTCCCCGAAAAAATTACTTATTTTCGCTTACCAGCCTACGTTTTTGGCTCTAGCATTCCTCATGTATGTCCAGAACGAGTAAGCACCCTTCTTGTCAGGGTAGAACTCCCTGAACGTATCGGTGAAACCCTCTTGCAGTAATTTACTAAAACCATTTCTTTCTTCTATCGTGAATCCAGCAGTTCGTTTGTTCGAGCCTGGGTTTGCCAAATCTGGAGAAGGGAATAAAATGGATTCGTTTGTTTTTTAACAATTATTCGCCGAAGGCGAAGTGAATATCGGGGAATATTTACCGAGACGCGAGTCTTCGAGAGGCGAGGTAAATATTCCCCAATAATCACTGAGCATGAGACAAATAATTGTTTAGTATAAATACACAGGTGATTCTTTCAAAAAAAGAAAAAAAAGAAGATAAAAGGCATTTTTTTCCGGTAACAGCAACAAAGTGCCTGGCCRCCATTTTGGATTATCGCTGGAGGTGATTATCGTGTGATAGTGTGAGTTTCTTGACCAAACAGCGCGCGAGATTTTCTATAATCACCTGTGTATTTTTAGTAAAGCTAGTTATAGCCATGTATCATTTAAAGTAATCCTCCCATCCATTAAAGGAAAGAAAGGGGCAAGGAGAAAACGAAGAAAGAAAAATAAAACACCAAAGAGATAGATGTGTTTTGAAAATAAAAAGTATAACAAAATTACAGTTAATAGAATTTACCGATAAAAACAAAGACAAAGATCTATATGTTAAGTGTATGCTACATCGAGTGTATAAGCAGATTAAAAAATCTGCCTTAGTTGGGTTCTCGCGGGACTCGAACCCAACTGAGGCAGATTTTTTAATCTGACCGAGTGACAAAAACACATTTCATAAAGACAAAGATGTTTAGCCATTTTCTTTCTTTCCATATTGATGGGTTGCAATCATTCCCAAGAGAGTTAAAAGACAAAAACATGGCGGCCATTGTGGTGCCATTAACAATGGATGCTAATGAGAAATCTTYTGTTAAATGGCACCAACATGGCCGCGATGACGTAACGTGCAAACGAAGAATAGCTCGCCCTGTACTCGTTCACTAGGTTACGCTGGCTTCACATGTAATCAACTAAGTCGTTTTTTCAATTGTATCACCATATTCCCTGTATGATGATGGGTCTAAGATCCGAAAGCTCGGAAAACAATAAAAATTTGTAAAAGAAACAACAACTCGGAATATTATATATTTACAGTGCTTCTAAATAATGCGAGGAATTCACATTTTAAGCGCTAGCCGTCACGTGGTAWCAAACGTGTTGAATTGTGTTACGACCACTAAAAGTTTCGGACATCGTTCTCGGATTCCCGACATACAAATTCCCCGTACCCATATCGATTTCTTTAGTTAGCTCTCTAAACAGCAGTAAGAAAAGCTTCAATCAAGTTAGTTTGTTTTTAGAGAGTTAACTAAACAAACCAAGTAAATTATTTGATTTAAAGTCGGTACATTCGTACGGAAATCCGAGAACAATGTCCGAACTACTTAGTGACCTTAACACCATCTAACACCATTTATACCACGTGTAATTGCACAATTTGACGTTGCTACAAAACAGGTTATTGGTGTCAATCAAAGTGTCAAGCAAAGTATTTCCATGACAATATCGTGGAGGCTTTTGCGCTTGGACATGCTAGTAAAAGTAAGTTTACATGACAATGTCGGAAGAGGCAGAGGTTTCAAGGACAAGCGTCTTTGGAATGTCATGGAAACGCTGTGATTGACGTCCACCATACCTATTTCTTTGTGTGCCACATTCAAGTCTCCACACAATATTACAGGTTTTGTCTTGTCCAGTTTCTTGAGGTAAGCTGTTAAGTCTACGTCCCACTTCTGTCGGTATTCAAGTCTAAACAAAAACCGAAAAAAAAAATTGTCAAGGAGCTTGGAATTTTGCCCAACATATCAAGCTTTACTCTATATGCTTAGTGTCGAAGTTGGGGTAGAGAAAGCTCACTCCATATATGGTATGAAGTAGAGAGAATAAGAGAAAAATATCAAATGCCCTTGGCAGGATTCGAACCCACGTCTTCGGTATTCTAGTCCGATGTGTTAACCACTACACTACAAGGACCAACCACGCTGGTAACGCAGCCAGAATATGAAATGTCCTGCCAAGGGCATTTGATATTTTTCTCTTATTCTCTCTACTTCATTATATACACACCGAACGCATAATTTATTACTATTATACTATGTCTATCCTTTGTGTACATATTTACGGTGTTCAACGTACCTATRAAAAAATATATATATCGCTCTGGGATCCTAACGATAACCCTACATTTCATATTCTGGCTGCGTTACCAGCGTGGTTGGTCCTTGTAGTGTAGTGGTTAACACATCGGACTACAATACCGAAGACGTGGGTTCGAATCCTGCCAAGGGCATTTGATATTTTTCTCTTATTCTCTCTACTTCATTATATACACACCGAACGCATAATTTATTACTACCATATATGGTATGATCAATTCCATATTTGCATTGTTCGGAAAAGCGGCAAACAAAAAGGCCATCGTTTTATAACGAATTCGACATGAACATTTTTGAAGAAGAAAAGAAAAGAAAAAAAAAGAATAGTCAAAAAAGAAAAACTTTGGAAAATCGAGGAAGGATACGGAGACGATGTTAACGCGTGGGTCTGCCTCGCAGACAACAGACACAGGGAAATACGACACTCAATGTTTGATATGAATAGCCTAATTTTCAAATTTCCTCAAAATATATTTGAAAGCCTTTAAGACAATAACTAATCCTACAAAATTTCAAAGAAGGCTATGAACAGGTCCCTCGCTTCTTAGCCACCACAGAAAGCCCATGTAATGTAAACTGATCAAAAATGACTTACCTTGGTAAACCACGCCCAGAATTAGGAACATCTGAACAAATAAAAAAAAATTCATTATATTAAAGATTTCATTATAAGGAGGATGCTTTCTCTAAAAAAAGGAAAATCAACTATATTTAGGAAGGAGGTCATCATGGCAGTCGCAAATGATGGCCATTTATGCTTCTTAACGTCTCTGAAAGAGACGGGACTTCCATTTTATGATTCAGGGAATTTTAACATTTGAAAAGAAAGTTCACTTGTGAAACACTTCTACAAATGGAATAATTTTTTGTTCTTTGGACAAAACACTTCAGTTCAGCCCCCAGGCCATCCAAGTCTGCACACGTAATATTTTTCGTTTGGGTTCATAACTTTAGAATTTGATGGGGATGGAGCGGGCTGAAAATAACGGCTGGCCATTGGACAATTTCCTGCCAGAATTGGAACTCATCCAGTCAAAACTTTGCCATGCTGTTAATTTTAGCCAGTAATACCAAGCTAGAAATGACTAGTAACTAATATAAAACTATGTGCAGAAACTACAGCCTCGACAAAATATTATTCGTGGTCACTGAATGGAACTGTAAATTGGAGCATTGAGATCTAACTGACATAGGGAGACATTAATGATAAGACTTACAAGCATTGACGAGGTAAAAGTCTTTGTATTCTGCCGTGATAACCCGACCTTCATTATCATGCTCTTCGATCCCTGGAAAGATTCAAGTTGAAACGAATTGATCTGATGGGTTCCCTGTACCTTTATTGTCTATCTCTCTGTTTTCAAAAATATGCATCTACCAATGTTTAGGCTGCGTTAATAATGTATGGCAGAGGGGGGGCAGGTGAAATTTAGGGGGGATCAGAAAAAATTTTACCAGTAAAATGGGGGGGGGAGGGGGTTTGAACATTTTTTTCAAAGAATTGGGGGGGATGCAAAATTTTAAGAAGAAGCTACTAGAGACTGCCCAGGGGGATAGTTATATTTTGGGGGATTTCAAGGGGGGTGGGGGGTCTTAAGAATTTTTTTGTCATTTAAAGATTTCACCTGCCCTTTCATTTGAATGATTCTTATCTTACCAATGCCATTTACTACTTCCAGGGGCTCTTTTTTGCTAAAAATTCTGAGGAATAAAATAATTGAGGTATGTAAAAATCATAGTGAAGATACAGACACACATAKAAGGCCATTCAGTTGCCAGTCATGATCATTGTACAAATTAGCCTTAGTTTGATCATATCTTGTTTTTGGCTCAATATTATTGGTCAAAATGACCAAGATTTGACTAAGCAAGTTCCAATATTCTGACCAGACATTACCTGGCATAAAATAATTCCTTTGTCTTACAAATCAAATTGGTTTGGTAATGTTTATTTAAAATAATGACAGATCAATGGACAATGATATACCAGAATTTGCCTTGCCTGTCATTTTGACCAATAACATTAGCCAGAAACAAGGTTTAGATAACTCCATCAATGCAACCTTTTCGATGTAAACTTTTCATCATGAGATGCAAAAAAGATGTAAATCATAAAATATAAATCATGTTGTAGAAAAATCTCGTGTAGCACACTTAGTGTGCTACTCTTTAAGTTGTAAATAAATATATAAAAAAATAAAAAAATAAAAAATAAAAAATAAAAAAACTCCATCAATGCGGACACCCCTATAAGGCTAAATAGACCTCCTCAGCTCAGGTGTGATGTTGTCCCATTTCAGACCACCTGTCATTCCCTAGAGTATCCTTTCTTTGTTTAACAGTTGCACTCAGTTGCACATGAGAAGACACATGAATATGGATGTGACTCCAACAAAGAATCTTATTCTCAAGGGAATGACACGTGGTCTGAAATGGGACAACATTAGTCCGAGCTGAGGAGGTCTTTTGCCCATATTTCATGTAAAGAAACTTCCTCTAAGACGGACACCTCTATTAGCCATTCAAAGGTTGAGTAAAAAACTGGGTCATGTTGGGGGACACTAAGAGCTGGTCCTGAAAGTGTTGCCTTAGAGAGGGTTTGCTGTCCTGGGGGGTTGGGGGGGGGGTACTCCACCAGGATTCGGGTAGGGGTGTTCTGCTGTGATTCTGAAAGGGGTACCCTGTTTATGACAAAAGATATAATAAGGCATAAAGAAAGATAGAGTGCATTCAGTCAAACTGTTGAATAGTTTATGTCACCTAAATTAGATAAGTTAGTTACTATTTTAGCTGACCTCACATAAATTTGAAACTACGAGTAAACAGCTACTGAGATCAGGGGGAGAAACRATGATACAAATGAATGTATTCACTCATTCTCTCGTAAAACAACCCCCCGGATTAGCATGACCGTTATTTGGCGCGCTTTTACTATTTTAGGTGACGTCAACTAAATAGTTATCTAAGTTAGATACATTTATCTAACTATTCAACAGTTTGACTGAATGCGATAAACTCAGGAAGAACTTAGAACTTGAGTGAAATTGCATACCCTATTTATGACCAAGCTAAAACTATGGAGTAATTTGGCTGGTTATCAACAGGTGGCTGATCAGCCATTATTTTAGCATTATACATCGTCTTACCCGACACCAGAATATCCCTTCTGATCAGCAGAGTTCAGGTACATGTGATATCCTGAAAATTTTGCTTCCTTTGAAGAAAAATTCACTCAAATTACAAAACTAAACATATCTAAAAATAAATACTTTGGCCATTTGACTTAAGCACAACAAGCTAATGAAGGATGGTCTGAAATGGGAAAATGTGCGCCAAAAAAATTACTTAGTTTATGGAAGATAACACTTGACAGTAATTCAACTGATAAATTTGTGGTCCTCTTTTAACGTCATTAGTTAATTAGGAATGGGACGTCCATTAACATGGTCATCCGAGCCACTTGAAAGTCTAACCATTTGCAGATGTAATTACGAGGGCAGCACCTTCTCATTTAAGACCCTGAGTGTTGGATGGCCGAGGCTTGAAACCACTACCTCCCGCACAACAGACTGAGGCTCTTACCAACTCAGCTAACCGGGTGGCCATAAGCTAATTAAGCAGTATATTAAAATACACCTGTGTAGTATTTCTTTTTGCATTGATTAATCCAGTCTCACGGCTTGCTACCCACCTTAGGGAAATCTTTTTTATCACATTTTATCTCCTGCAAACATAATATGTCTGGCTTTTCTCGCATGATGTAAGAGCTTGGTTTGCATTTCTGTGAAAAAATATTTCAATATGTAATTTTGTAGAAAAAGGGTTGATTTTACATAATATTTCAAAGTCGACAATGAGGACTGGACAGGATTTCAAGTCCAAGCAATTAGTTCCAGTCCGGGGGACAGCCGAGTGCTCATGCTCATGCTCATTAATTATTCGACTTGGAGTAACTGGAACAAAATTAATTCAGTCCTAGGACTAAATTAATTTTGTTCCAGTTACTACAGACTGAATTCAAACCTTTCACAGGACTTTACCAGGTTCCAAGTAACATCATGTGACCCAAAAATAGCCCATTGATTGGCTGGTTTGCTCATGAATTATTAATAAATATGAGAATTAAAAGTAAAACTGTGAGTAAAGATATCTACTTACCAACCATGCTCTCACACCATTGACGTTCCATGAAGATATCTTAAAATTACTATGTCTGAGGGACAAAAATTAGAGGAATAATAAAACAGAAAAAATAAAACAAAAAGCATACTRTAGCAATACCATTTTGTTCCATATCCACAATTCCAAGAATGTATTACTGTAATGGGAAGAAAGAGTTTCCACACAGCAGCTGTAAAACTTTGAATAGGTTGCTTGCATTATTAATAGCATCATTWACTACCACTACCAGAATCCCTTGCACACCTTCTATTGCTCAGAAAAGTCATTAAGTTATTAAACAATATTGTAGTTAAGCTCAAAATTCAAACAGTGTTTGTGTTTGTATTGGAGTTTGAAAGATTCACAATTGGTGGTTATTAAAAAGAATTGGCCACACACGGTCAATATTGACTGGCAGTGCGTCATGTCACTCCAAAGAAACAACACAGTGCATGGCCATTTCAATCGACCAAATTACGCAAAGATAGCAGCCAACTTGAACACACTTGCTATTTTGGYTGCTACACAACTACACATATGACTACAAATTGTTTATTTACAAAGAAATTATTTAYCACTAATGAATTAATATCATCCAATAATTGTATTGTATCGTAAACAATGTGGAATAAAGTGAACTTGAACTTGAACTTCAGTTAATTAGCACCAATTGCCCTACTATTCTCATTAGAAAATACAAATTTCAATAAGAAAGAAAATTCTCATTTTGATAGTAGTTGTAAAATGACGCCATCATGCAAATGGCCTATTCTCTGCATTTTCCTATAGCCCATTATGCTTTGCATTTTGGGGTATTGTGGTCAAAAAACTGTCAGAAAATAATATCTCATTTTWAAATCAATTTCCAATAATTTATCCAAATTTATTAACCCTGTTTTCATTGCATCTTGCTGAATGAAATGAGAAAAATGAAGAAAAATATGTCAATAAAATTTGGCCAATCAAACATTGTGGTCTAGTGTATTAAAGCGTGCTTCACACTAGCATCGGAATCAGAATCGGAAACAACATACTCTGACTTAATATCGCATTTATCACCAGTATAAAGAAAGACAAGCATTGTTAATGAACAGTACACTACTCTGCGTATGTTGCTTACAATTTTGATTCCGACGCTAGTGTGAAACAGGGTTAAATAGAGGATATTACATGGGCGCGCGGAGATACGAATTTTATCTTCGAGTGTTGAAAAGATCTCTCACGAGTGAGCGCAGTGAACGAGTGAGAGATTTTCAACACGAGAAGATAAATTTCGTATCTCCAAGCGGCCAYGTAATATTCTGTTTATTATATAATTATCAATGAAGTATGTTTTGGCTTTTTCGGGCAATTCTTTCCGTGTATTTTTGAATAGCCATCGCAATGGTGTTATTTTCACACGTGAAAATAACATGTTATTTTCACATGTGAAGATATCAATTTTTCGAAATAGAGAAAGATAGATATTTCATTGGTAATTATATAATAAAAAGCAGTATTTACTTGTCTCCTCTTTTCACGCAATCTTCTGTTAAATCCAATTCCTCAGAGCCAGAACTTTCAGCACTATTTTCTTCTATATTTTTCTTGGATTTTTTGCTAGGTTTTGCTTCTTCATCTCCTGAACTGTCTTTTGATCTTTTACTTCCCTACAGAGTATAAAATTTTTGAAGTATTTGTGCCGTCAATATATGCAAGATTATGGTAGTTGTAACTTGTGTTTAATGGAAGAAGAAAAAGAGTAAAATTCCAAAAATGGTATTTTTATCTCATTTTATTATTTTCTAAATTATCCAATCCTTGAAATTTAACAAACCCCAAAACAACCTCTGGGCTGACCAAAATAATGGCTAACTCACAGATAGAACCCTGAAACAACCTCTGGCCCGATCCAGGGCTCGAAATAGAAAAAAATGTAGCCTGCCATAGTAAAGGAGCATGGTAAAAGGAGGTCATTCCAGTAAATTTTGCATGCCATTTTACTATTCATTTGGCAGTGCATTGATGAAAATAATATTTCCATGGTCCATATTAAGTGGTTTGAATGATATGAAAAACATCGCATTAGAGCCAGCACAAACCAAAATACTCTTTCCCAACAGATGTCTTTTGAATTAATTTTGTAAAAGAATATCAACAACAGAAGTGAAGACAAACATCTAAAACGTTTTCACAAATATACCATAAACAAAACAGGTGTAAAAAAGTCGGAATGAAAATACCATTTACTGGGAAAGAAATAATTTTCAAAATCAAAATGTTGTTTGATCTTCGAGAGGGCATAAAGGGCACTTAACATATGATCTCATCGATCAATTACTCCACGATGTCTAAGCGTAAACAGTTAAAAATTATTGTCTAGCTCTTATCCTATTTTATTTTACCTAAAATGCTCAAATTAAAAAAGCCGAATATTTCATCTAAACATAAACAGCTTGGAGCTACACGGTAATGGAATCCAGGTTCCAGCTGGGCTTAAATTTTGGCAGGAGATGAATAACTAAACTGGGATTGTAGTCGACCACGCTCAGAGTTGCAAAGATGCGAAACATTGAAGACCAAATCGACAAATTTATAATTCCAATATAAGATAAAACCCTTAAAATGGGAGCAGAAGATAAAAGGTAAGAGAAAATAGCATAAATTATAAGCTTAAGGGTTAAAATTATCAAGGATTTAGATTCAAATGCCTAAGCTACTTATAACTTTAAGAGGAAAAAAACCATTGACAGGTAGCGACAGGTTAAAAAATGCTCAGCAAAAAATGCTAAATTTTTCCCTCACCTTTGCTTTAGTTTTCGGAGGCATACTGTAATGTGTAAGGCTTCTTATTTTCGAGAAAAAAGATAATTTTAAGGCAGGATTTCTTAGTTGTAAACAGGAAAATATTTGGCGGGAAATCAAAAGCATGTTTTGCACAGGCGTTGCTAGCTTACGACCGAGTGGGACACGAGACGAGTGCTGAATTTTTCGAATTTCACAGCTTATTTTGGATGAGAAAAAAAATGTATCATATTGATCAAGAATTTATTGTTTTCAAGCACATTTTAAAATTTAGTCTGGTTTATAAATAATTTGTAGTAAATAGTGTGACGCTTCGGACGGGAGGGGCTGGAACCACTTATTCCGTATTTTAAAATCAAAACATTGCTATGATACACACCTGGCATTAATATTTATCACCACCATCATTCATCATTAAAATCATTTTTGCTATCATTATCATCGCTATTAACCACCCCTTCGCCTTTTCACCTTTTCTGATCATCACCGCCATTGTCATTATCAACGACATCATTATCATCATAGTCTTCATGAATCATCCGGGGGGAGGGGGGGAGGTACTCCTCCAATATTGGAAATGGGCGAGGATGCCACAAAATTTAAAAAACCACCAAAGAGTAAGCCAGTACCTCTTCATACTGAGGGTTTTGTCAGAGTAACAAGATGCCCAAGCCGATTATACTAATGACTGCCCGTACCAGTTCGGGTGTTTGTCAGATGATAAGATACCCGAGATTATATTGAGGACAGCCAGAATGACAGTTGTAATTCAGGATATCTATTTTCAGACCATAGATAATTGGTACCTTTTAGGTGTGAAAATCATTAGTTGCCACGCCCAAATGTACAAGACTCCAGGTCAACTAAAGAAGACCCAGGTCAACTAGACAAGACCCAGGTCAACTAGACAAGACATAGGTACCCTTTAAGGGTCATTTTTTAAAAATTTCCGTGGGAGTCCCCCACAGATTCAAGGATTTAAGGGTTGAATAAAAAACCTGTTCGCTGGCTATAAGATTTGACTCTGGCCTGCACCGTAAATCACACTCACAAATCAAACTTTCTTTTCTTGCGAACAGCTTGAAGAGTATTTATTAAAGCTCCCTAACGTGGTTTGCCTTTTATAAGACCAGGCCTAAGGGCATGTTGATGTTTTTAGAAATATTTTAGGACGTGCAAAGTTCATAGAAAGCTAAAAAGCTGTTTGTAAATTATTTTGGAAATTACGTACGTAGGGGTTGATGAACCATCAATCCCTCCCTCCCTCCCTCCCTCCCCGCTCCCTCCCTGCCTCCACCCATCCGTCCATCTATCCATAAATCCATCTATCCATCCTAAGCCTAATCTCTGCAAATCTTATTCAAAAATTATCGCTACCACGCCTTTGGGCAAAACATATGGTGCTTGCCTTTTTAACTAATGCGTCTCACATTTTGAACGCATCATTGCAATCTGATAAAAGATCAAAGCCTCTAGCGTTGTGAACACCTTTTTCAACACTCAAACACTCCCTATGTTTTGGAAATCTAAAACATCTTTTGACAAGCAAGAGAAGGGGGTTCAAATGGATTGATTAAAGCCTTAGGTTGCAAACACGGGCTCAACTTTCATTCATTCCATGAATATTTCTGACTTGGTAAATACTAAAGTAAGTGCGACCGATGTTTACATTTTTCCATTTCAATATTACCAACTTTTTAGCTTGTTTTAGTTTGAATAATGAAATCTTGATGTTTTGACCTTCACTTAAAGATTCCTAGCTCTTGCTGGGAACGATTTCAATGGCCTTTAAGTGGTTTGATGCTCGCGGACGTTCTATCAATAAATCTACCTTATTCCATTTCATTGAATTTACTCAAACACCCTTCCTCTTCAAGAAGGATTTGAATTTCGTTCTCTTTATTATATAAAATACATTATTTCTGATAGAAGTTTCTTCTGTCTATTTTGTTTAGAACTAGTTTGAGCGTTTGTAATGAAAATATTTTAAAYTTGCGGCAGTAACAATAAACCTTTGAAGATAGTGTCGTTATGGAAGTCAGGTTACAAATCCCAAACACTGGTGTTCACATCATTGCCGGACCAAAATACATTCGGAGAAAAATATCTTTAATAACAAAACTGAAGAATAACAAAAATATCATATAATTAGTACAAATAATGGAATTAATCCCGGAACTCCTACTTTATTATCTTCAACATTTTCAAGAAGAAGCAGAATTCACGGAGGTAGTCATCAGAAACTAAGACGTCGTTAAACTATTGACAGATGTACATGTTAGCATGTTAGATAGAAAAGAATTAGATGAAAAATAGTCT